AACTTTAACCTTATTCCAGGTTTGTAAATGTATTTCATATGACTTGCCTCAATAAATAAAATCTGAATATGAATCTGATTATGATGGTAATTATGTTATTATGATTCTTATAATGGTAAGGATGATGGTGGTGATAATGATGATTACGATAATGATCATGATAATTATGATGTACATAAAACTACAGTATATATTTTAAATGGAATGCAGACAAACTCTTCTATCTACCTTATTTTGAGCACAGACAAAAGTACCATCAAACTCGCTCATCTTATCACTGTTAAAATCCTCAATGTTTAGTTTTGCTGTGTACATGCCACCTGATGATACAGTTATCTGCAAAAAAAAAAATTATTAATAATTATAATAGTAATTATGAGAATGCTACATACAGTTACCAATTGTCTTGCATTTCAAAGCTCTTAATTCATTATGAAACAAGCATTTTGCAAAACCTATGCTTGATCATCAATTTATCATGAATTCCTCAAAATACATTTAGAACTAGTTAGTTAAAATATACCTTCTATGGATAATACACTAAATGGTCTAATTTTAAACATTATCGTGCAAGAAAGTCTCCCGCTTGTTTTTATAAAAATCCTATACACATTACAAACTCGGGTCTTCTCTCGATTTGCACTGCCTTTCAAAATAATACAACTCAAACATATTTTCATCAGTCTTGCATTCAAATAAGTCTTTCTTTTTTTTTTTTTAAGAATTTTGTTGGTTAATATACTTGGTGTTTTTACACAGAATCCAAACCAAACCAAAAACACCAACAAAATTATGAAGAACATTGTCAAATACAATAGTCTCCCTGGAGCTGCACTTTTCTAGATAGGTTGATAACACACAAGTCATGGCTTACCACTCTGCCTTCACTAGATCTAAGTAGAGGAATTAATTCAGTTGTTAGGATGTAAGTTCCAAGAGTGTTGGTTGCAAAATTCTCTTCAAGTCCATCTTCTTGTTTTTCTCTTGTTTTGATCGTACAACCTGCATTATTAACCTATCATTAAATATAAAAACAAATGTAAACGACATGTACATTTGTTTCTTCGCTTCTTAACCACATCCCTTCTTTGTAAAAACTCTTACCCTAACCCTAACCCCCCCCCCCCCCCCCTGT